GTACTTGTGCTACACATATCATCTCCCAGACAGTGCCTCACCTCTTCACTCCCTTGCAAGTGTCTTTCGATAAACAGATTTTTAGTTTTAATGTAGCTCATTTATCAATATTTTCCTTTAAGTTTAGTAAATTTTCTTTTAAAAAGTTCCTCCTTACTCTAAGGTCATGAAGATATTCTCTTATAGTATCTTCTAGAATGTTTGTTTTTATTTGCTCTTTGCATTTAGATCTAAAAGTCTACCTATAATTTATTTTTTTATGTGTATGGTATGAGGTAGAGGATAACTTCCATGTTTTAAATACTGATATCCAGTGGTCTCAGGACATTTTATTCTCCACTGTTCTTCACAGGTAAGTTTTTCATAAATCAATAATCTGTATATGTATAGGTCTGTTTGTGTGATTCTTGTTCTAATCCATTGATCTAGTCTATCTTTGCACCAATACCTCACTATTTCAATTACACATTGTTAGAACTACACATAGCCAATATTCATTTAGATTTACCCACATAGTCACCATTTCCATTGCTCTATATTTCTCCTTGCTTCTCAGACGTCCAACTGAACTTATTTTCTTTCTACTTGATGTCTACTCTTTAGTGAAAGTCCTCAGGAGAGGAATTCCCTCAATTTCTGTTTGTCTGAAAAATATTTACTTCTTCTTCATTCTTCAAGTATATTTTGGTTGGGTATAAAACTAGATTACCAGGTATTTTTCTCAGACCCATAAATACATTATTCCATTCTCTTTAACAATTTTTTTGTGTGTGTGTGGAGAAGACAGCTCTCTGTGTATTTGTTTCTTTGAAGACGATCTGTCTTATTTTTCTGGCTACTTTTAAGATTATTCTATTCTAGTTTCCTCTCTCTTTCTCACTAGCTCTTTGTTTTTAGTATGCTCTTGCACTTAGGTATAAATTTTTTAAAAAATTCTGCTTGGGGTTTGTAAGCATTCTTGAATCTGTAGCTTAATATATTTCATCAACTTTGGAAAGTTCTCAACAATGATCTCTTCAAATATTTCTTCTGTCCTCCTTTACTCTATGTTTGATGTTTTAAATAGTTATATATGGAATTCTCAATGTTTCTGTTAAATCTTAGTCTCTACTTTTCTGTATTCTCCTTCTTTCTCTCCCCCCTCTCCCTCTCTCTTTTTCCCCCTCTCTCTTATTCTAGATATTTTCTTTTTCTTATTTTACAGCTACTAATTCTGTCTTTAGCTGGGTCAAATCTGCTATTATACCTACACACTGATTTCCTAATCTTGTCAAATGTCATCTAAATTTCAAAATTTCCATTTGTGTTTTTTCTTTATGACTAAAGAAATAATCATGTCTGTTCTAATAATCATGTCTGTTATGTCTTTGAACATAGAAAACATGCCATTTTCCAGTCTGTGCCTTTTATCTCCTTATAGTGCCAGTATCTGTTTCTTACTTTTGTTTCTTCTGTTTTCCTTGAATGTGTTATCTTCTCCTAGTGTGACTGATTATTTTTCATTCTATGCCAGAAATTGATTTTGTAAAACTGCTTACAAAATAATTTGAGGCTTAAGAGGATATTATCTTCCTCCAGGGAGGATTTATATTTGCTTTTGCCAGATGTCTGGGCAGAACTGGCAACCTGGGATTCATTCATTCCAATTCAAGGATTTCATGTTTTAAAACTAAGTTTTGGCCATTGTCTTAGGTCTCTTTACTTCTAGTTCACCCTTAATTCCAAAGGTATAGTCAAGCAAAAACAAGGAGAAGTACCAGGACTCCACCATTTCGGCAAGCCCGGAACTCTAATTCCTGATCCCTCGTCCTGCTAGTTTGTCAAAAGCAGAGCTCAGCCTCACAGCTGCCCCATCCAGGATGAGGAAATGTTCTTGGGTGAAGAATAGCCTCAACTCTCAGACTCACCTTCCAGGGCTTCCATCCTCTTCCATGTTCTGTAACAGTTCTTCACTTTCTTGGTAGATTTCATTTCCTTCAAGTATAACATTTTGTCCAATTTTTCTAATTTTTTTTTCTAGGTAGGAAGATTGGTTAGAATTACCTCTATTTGGAGTTGAAGCTTAGAAAATGAGTTCATTTTCCTAAGCATGAAGTCATTGCCTCCTCTTCTCAAGTATGATAAATACATTTGAAGGTCAAATTATAAATATTTCATAGCTTAACTCAAAGCTGGGGGAAAATAATATTTTTAGGAGACCAGAAATAGGAAGATTTTTATTCTGATATGATCATATTGTTCACTTTATTTTTTTTTTCTTTGTTTAATTATAACTACTAACAAAATATAACCAGAAACTCTACAAAGGAGCCACTGCTACCTAAATGAACAAGAGTTTAGAAAGTATGCTTTCAACTAGCAATGGAGGGGGAAAAATGTTGGATCTTAGCTAGAGTGCATTTAGTATTCTAAATGGAGCCAGAATTTCAAATGCACAATTTGGTTTACATGTGAAAGAAAACAGAAAAGGCACCATGGTTGATTTTGTTTTTCTGACTATAAGTTCCAAGGCTTTGTAGCTTGTAGTTATAGCTTTGTAGTTGTGGGTTCCAGGATGTAACAGAAAGAAAGGCAGAGAGAATATTTTATATTCCAGAACTAGAGCAAAACAAGAAAATTATAGTAGTTTAATGGAGTTGTTCAATATGTGATTTAAATTTGAAATGAACTCTGCTCATATTTGAGTAGCAAAGTGGCTTGCATTTTTCTGTCTGGCCATAGGCCAGAATTACAAAGTTAAAACAGAATTGTAAACTGTTTTGGAATTTGCTGACCAAATTCTCAATTGTTTCCCATGAGCACTGTGGTCAGCTCTCTGTTCTTATCTTGTAATATAATTTAATTAGATCAAGGTGCAAGTTATGAAGACTAGACTCATTTGCTTTTTGCTTTTAGAATAAAAGCAGCAGAGAAAGAGTTGCAGCTTCAGGAAAGGAGTTAGAAAACCATGGACAGCCAATCTTTCATACCTCCTTATCTTGTAGTGTTTGTAAGATTCTTTAAAAATTCGACCCTGAAGAGATGAAAGTGACTGAACTAATAAAAAAGGGCAATGCATGGCTGGCAGCAAGCATGGAATGTTTTATACAAGGGGAATAGGCACTGATGCAGTCTGAGAGCAGCCAAATGCAGGCTGCCAGGCTCTGTCCAAAATTATGTATCCAGGGCTTTGGCTTCTGTCAATATGACAAGCCAGATACTCTGAAGGGTCCTGTTAGGAAGAAAAAAAGAGAGAGAAAGAGATCTGAATTAAACATTTTTATCAAATTTCTGGGATCTCAGGAAATAAAGGAAAACTCTAAAGAAACTGCCAAAACAAAACACAAAAATATGTGCTGAAAATGGAACCATGAACAAACTCAAAATAAGTTTGCTTTTAAGGCACGTCCCTGAATTGTTGCTACAACTGGGCAACTAGGTCTTGAGACAAGAACAAGGTGGGAGAAATGAATCAAAGGCTCTAGGATTATTAACCCAAGAACTTTCCAAGAAGGATAAAGTTGTCTAAGGTCAGTAGTACCTTCCTGCTTCTAGTAGAAACAAACATAATTCTTTTCCAAACGTAAGCACCCTAATTTAGGTTGCTAAATTTTCATGTATAAAGATAAAGTATGTAGTGTTCAGATCAAAGACCACTAAGTGCATAAGAAAATTAATCTCTATGACTGAATTTCAGTAGAAACCACAAGCAATTTGTGATATTAAAATTACCAAATAATCAATATAAAATAGTTAGGAAAATCTTTAAACAAACAAAAATGAATTATGGCTAACTTTGGCAAAATTGACTCTCACTTGGTGGCCTGTGCACCACTTTATATGTTTTCAGTTCCACCTCTTATCCAGACATTGATACGTGCTCAGTTCCACATGATCTGTAATCAGCTTTGTGCCCTTGCACTTGTCAGCACGTTGCCTCAGGCCCCGAGGTTCTGACTTCCTGCTTCCTGCCTGGGACTCCTCTTACACCACAACATGGGAGCTCACTTGGTACTCATGTGTGCACTACCTGGGAGAATTCACACCCATGGCAACCCTCCTTGACCACTGGGGATAATTTGAATGTAGTCACGTTTATCAACATTTTTATAGTTAATTTTTTTCTGCACTTTCTTTCATCAAAATTTCCCATATCTCAAGTTTGTAATGATCTCTTATACTGACTTCTAAAATTTAAAAATTTTTGTCTTACACATTTAAGTCTTTAATTCATTGGTATTATTCTTTGGTGAGAGAATGGCTATGACATACAGAAGAGACTTGATTTCATTTTTTAAAATATGCGTGACCAATTACCCTAGCCCCCAACATGACTTCAAACCAGGCTCCTCATTCTGTTTGATAAGCAAGTTTATCTTGATTGTAATACTACAGTGCTTTAATTAATTTAATTTTATAATAGATCTTGATATCTGGTAGGACATCTCTCCTCTCTCCTTGTTCTTTTTGTTTGGTGTCTTGGATGCCTTGGCTCATCTTTGGTCTATTCTGCATAAATTTTAGAATTATTTGCCAAATCATGGAAAAAATCAGCTTGGGTTTTTAAAATTAAGTTTGGAATTTTGTGGAAAAGAATTGATAATAGCCTTATGATTTTGTGTCTTCCTAGCCTCAAACATGAGATATATTTTTAAGTATTTAGGTCTTCTTTAGTCTTTCAAAAAGTTTCACCATTTTCTTTCTGCACATGTTCTGTATGTCTTTTGTTAGATTTGTATCTTTATACCTTTTCTTTTTTGTTTCAACTATAAATGGTATCTTTTTATAGATTATATTTTAAATATTATGTTCTATCAGATAATAGTGCAATTCCTGGTACATACTGATTTTAGATCTAGATACTAGTCTTTGCTGTGGTCTCTTATTATTCTAACATTTTATCCAGTTATCCTAGAAAACATTATTTGTTTTCTAGGTAGATAATCAATCATATCATATGCAAATAATAATAATATTTTCCTGCAAATAATAAAACTATTTTCTTTCTTTCATATACTTAGAACTTTGGACTTGCCACATGACTTGTGTTGGCCATTAGGACATTATTGAACATGACAAGAGCAGAGGCTTGAAGTATGGGCTAAACCTCTGAACTCCAGTCTTTGGCCATGAGAAGACCATGCCTTGAATAACCACTGGCACAAGGAAGATGAAAGACATGAGTTGAAGATCTGGATTCAACCCACTGCTTGGAGCAAGCCCAGTCAAGCCCAGGCTATATCAGCCAAACCTCAGAAAAGAAATAAATGTTTATCGTGGCATGTCACTATGTGGCTATTTGCAGCAACAGCAGACTGATACAACATCGAACCCTTAGTCATGGGAGAGTGTGCCCATGTCAATAAATGTTTCCGACCAACCTCATAATCTACTTCCTTTATATTTTGCTCCTTCTAGTCCTATATCTTTAAACCACACCCACATATGTCTCCTGGTCCCTGCCCTTATATTTTTGCCAGGTTCAGAAATTTTTTGGTGTGTAAGATATTTTGTCTCAAAGTAGGGACTATATTGATATAAATGCTTACTGTGAATTAGGCCCTCATAAACTTTCATACATTCTTTCACTTAATCTTCCCAATACCTCTGTAGGCTGGCTAACTTATCCTCATGTTTAAAATAAGGAAAATCAATATACAAAGATGAAATAACTTGTACATGGTCTCAGCCAATAGGTGGTAGAGCCAGGATTTGAATAATTGGGTCCGTTTGACTTCAAAGGCTATACAATGATACGCGGTATGCCACGGACATGAAAATGAATGGAGTGCAGAGACAGTTTCTCATTTTACAAAGATTATTAAAAACCAATTTATTGTAATTAAATGGAAATTAAAAAGAAAATAATTACAGGCGTTGGGGGAAAGATACCTTTATTAGAAACTGACAAGGTTTAAAGCGTGAGGTATAATGACAGGTGTAACCCACACAGACAGGGACAGTCATGACCATGGTGGGAAAGAAATCAAGGTTACTGAACACCTATTGCGTTCCAGATGCTACTCTACATGCTTTCACATATATCTGCTAATTTAATCTTGACAATGTTTTGTTGTTCTAGGCATTGTCCAGAGCTAGTGAGAGAGTCATGACTTGGGCTCAACTCTGACTTCAATGCCTATGTCGTCTCTGCTAGACCAACACTGTCAGCATCACCTGGTAGCAATAATTGGGCAGGTTGTTAGAGATGCAGAATTTCTGGCTCATGTCGGATCTTCTGATCAAAATCTATATTTTAACAAGAGTTAACAAGGTGAGTCTTATACACATTAAATTTTAAGATGCCCTGCACCATTATGTATAATTTTGGCACATGTGGACTGGGAGAATTTAAAAAGTTTAACAATGGACTCCTAGGAAATCTTTCATAATAGAAGCTTGGTAAATAGCAAGAACTTAAATCCCTCAATGGTCTTAAGGTACAAATGGAGCTTAATGTCATCGAAATTCTGGCTAGTTCTGTCTCTAACACTTTCCTTTATCCACAGAGGTAAACCTCAAGTTGTTTGAGTAAACTATAGTGAAGGATATTTATTAAGGAGCCTCCATGCACTGAATTTAGTTCTAGGCAAGATTTTAAAGAACAAGATATGTTCCTTGTCCTTAAGGAGCTTTTAATATAAATGAAAAATACAAACTCAGATAAAACCAAAAGAAAAGAACATGAGCAAAATAAGAAGAAAGCGTATAAACAAGGATCTAGAAGTAGACATTTGACAGAGGTTTGGGTTTTATGGGAGTTGCTGGAGGTCTCAATGACCAGAGCCACATGAGTTTACATCATAAAGTTTTCTGTGAAGTGATTCTACTGAGTGTTTTGAGGGAGGAGAACTGTGGTTCATTAGACAGCAAGTTTTAAAGCATTTCAGAAAGGGGAAATGGCAAAAATTATTTGCTTGGAAATTCGGCCAAGAAAACCATGATTCATATATAGAGGTGAAGGTATGTGTCTAGAGAACAAAAGATGAATTGAGGCCATATTCGGCTAAGGGTCAATGTTTGATGGAGTGTGTCAAGATTTGGGGAAAAAGTAAGGAATAGCAAGGAAGGAAAGGAAAGGAATAGGAAAATGTGGTATGTACCTGTATTAGTCTGGGTTCTCCAGAGAGAGAGGGAGAGAGAGAGAGACTGATTTTAAGCAATTGGCTCGTACAACTGTGGGGCTTTGAATTGCAAAATTTGCAGGGAATGCTGGAAGGCTGGAAATTCCAGTAAGAGTTGGTGCTGCAGTCTTCAATACAAAGGCAACCAAGAAGCAGAATTCCTTGTCTTTGGGAGGTAGAAGGAACACTCTTTTCTCTTAAGGCTTTCAAGTGATTGGATGAGTCTCACCTTAAGAATGGAGGGTGTGAGTTTTACTCAAAGTCTACTGATTTAAATGTTTATCACATTTAAAAAAAAATACCTATCATAACAACATCTAAACTAGTGTTTGACCAAACAGCTGGGCCTTGTACCTTAGCCAAGTTGACATATAAAATTAACCATCAGAGCATATGTGGAGGCACTAAAATTTTCTAAAGTGTCCTTTCAGGGATGTTGGAGTGGTGTGATTATGGCCAATGTCACTGCAGACATCAACAGTGGAGGGTGTGGCCAGTGAGGTTGAATGATTGTTATTGTAATTAGAATATATGTTTTGTATTTTGGCTATTAGGTTGGTATTAATAGAAGTTCAATGTCAATATCACAGAAGATGACATGACGTTCCCATTTTATTCATTAATATTAGAGTTCATTGTTCGATTCTGAACACCACAATTTGAACAGAGTAGCGTTCATTCAGAGTAGAATGTCTAGAATAGGTTATCCTTAAAATAAGAAGATAGAGGAGGACTCAATGATTGCTTGTGCAGGTAACACAAGTGGGCATTAAACTTATTCTCTGTTGCATGATTACTACTAAGGACCAAGGGGTAGGAGGCACATCAGGTAGGTAGAACTTCTCAGCAAACAGAACTTCATATAGCTGAGCCAACTATCTAGAAAAGCATTCTGGAAACAATGAGCTGAATCTGGCATGCCCTCTATCAGAGGTAGCATGGGGGAGATGCCTGGGTAGCATTTTAGGTTGGAAAAGATGACTATTAGTGTCTATTCTGCCTCTAAGATGCTGTGCTCTGAGGCAGTTCCTTTGCTTAGTCATTTTGCTGACAATGTCTTGACTAAATAAATGTTCAGGTATACATTATGTAAAAAGAAAAAAAAAACCAGCAAACTTTGGGGACATTTATCTGCTCTTTTGATCTCTCCATTCGCTTTTAGATCAGCAGGTATGAAAATGAGTGGAGTGGTGGGCCTAGGAGTAATCTTGATTTTCTTCATGCTTTTCTGTATTCTCCAAGTTTTCTGCAATGAATGTGTATTAATGTTATTTTTAACAAAGCAAAGTGAGTGGGGCCAAGTCTACAGTCTACTTTATGTTGACCACAAATGACCCTGTGTATAGAAGCCTTTCCGGCCCTTAGAATAGCGAAGGGGTCTGTGAGACAGCAGCTGCGAGAGAAGAGGAGCCAGAACTTTGCGTAACCTCTTATTTCTTTAAAAAGGTCTCATCGTGGTTTTGACTGGTATTTTTTAGCATACGGCTATTCCAGACCCCCTATTTTCTGGCAGATTCATAACACCAAAATTAAAATGTGATTTGGCTTTCTTTTCTTAAGTTGGAAATGTCCGAAACCCAATGTCCCAGGATGTGTTGAGAGGCTGAGATCTAGAGAGTGTAGGGACTCCACTCAATGCCCCCTTTTCTGTAACACGACTGGCAGTCAAGGCACTGGGGAAGGCAGAGCCCATGAGACTTTGTGAGGCATGGTCAGGGCATGGCTGCACGGGAGTAGCTTTCCGCTGCACGGAAAGCTACTCAGGGAAAGCAGATCTTGCATTGCACACCTTAGTTCCAGACCAGAGAGTTCACCAACCAGACGTGGGAACACATGAGGAGGCATGCAGGTGACGCTCTGAGACTAAGGACTTTGTGTCTCACTCTACTGAAATTTGCTTCTGCAAACTGTTCCCCTAGAGATGGGCAGCAAACCTCACTATCGGTTACTGTTTTCCTTTTGAAAGACACCCCGCTGGACATACCGATCCCAGTGACATGAGAAGCAGCACTAGTTCCTGGTAGAATTTCCTGCTGGTGAAGTGTTCGTAAAAGCTAAGAAAGACTTGCAGCAACAGATTGCATCAAGACTTGAGAACTACTGGGATTAGACTCCCGCAACTCTTCTTAAGGACAACAAAGTTTTTCTTCTATAAGTTTCCCAACTGGTCAACTAAAAGTTGTCTGTGACTTTTCAAGCTCCCTGACCCCCACCATCAAATGAGACGATAACTGGCCATCAACCTTGCTCTTTTGATCCACCAGAAAAGGCCAAACTAAAGTTTGTTAGTTTACCATTTTGTGTAGTGTACTAAAAAGCACACATTCAAACTTTGAAAAAATAATTTGAGACTTTTCTTCATTATGAAGATGATAAGGCATTAAAAGAATAAATCAGATTGGAAATTTCCAGAACATCGCCAAGATCATAGACAAAGAGAGCAATTTCAGTACTTCCCCTGGGTAAGGATGGCCCGGCTTGCTTTCCTGTTGAGTCCGACACCTCTGAAGCCAACCAGAGGTTGAGCTTTAAGGGCAGTGGAGGCAGAGCAAGGAGATGCAGTCATTGAAACAATCTCTCTGTTTTAGTGCTTACGAGGGTTGAGGCTAGAACCTATGAAGTTGCCCACCTTTGCCAGGATATTACAGCTTTTGTTGATTAGTTTATCATTGATGGTTCTGATAAAATAGATCTGCCTATATGGAAAAAAATTGTTGTGAGGATTAAATTCTTTAATACATGTCAAATACTCAAAACAGGGCCTAGCATATAATAAGTGTTCAATAATTTTTTAGCTATCATCATTGCCCCAATCCAATTCCCAGTGCCCCTCCAGTCTTTCTTCACAATTGCCTAAAATGCTACTTTGTTTATTATTCTGGATGTTTCTATTTCAAGCTGGAGGGAAAGGGAGTAGGAGAAAAAAGCAGAGAAGGAAAAAAAGGGTAAAGATTAGTCCTCAATGTAGGATTTTTTTTTTTTTTTTTTGTAGGTGTGCTTACTGCTCATAAAATGCAATCTTGGTTGGAATGCAAAGGAAACAGATTCAGGAACTTTTAAGCAATAGAGAACATCTCTACAAACTGGAAGGAAGTATATTCATTTTCTGCATAAACACAAGTTCCCATCAAAGCCTAGTAAATGCAGCAATAGAAAAGAGAGGAAGACTCTTTAATAAAATCTTTCTGATCTGCTGCCTGGTTTGCTTTTGGCATAAGGTTGATGCTGTGCATGTCTACACGGGTAGGCTCACAATGTTCATTTGAATTGCTAGTCCAGTCTACTCAGTCTACTGATATTAAATGTATTTTATTGAAGTGTACTCTCCTTCCTGCCTTTGACTTAGTATTCAAAACATTAGTAACAGTTTTCACATAATTTTTGACTTGTGTAATAAACTGAGGAGGACAGAAGGCTTGTGTCTGAAATATTGACTTTTACACAGTTTAGTTATACTAGGTTTTTCTTTGTAAAGGGAATTACTTTTGAAGAGTTACTACAAATACAGGGGGCTAATTTGATCTACTTATTTCTGACTCCCATAATTAGTTATTCATCTGGGAACTTCATCTATGGATGTTTGGCATTTTATTATAAAATGCATCACTATTTTAAAAAGTGAGACTTTTCTCTTTTCTTTGATTTTCTTATTTGGTTTTTAAAGGTACTCTATGCTTGCATTACCAAGTGAAATAATAAAGTAAAAGGTAACCCTTCTTTCTGCTCTCTCTTCCTTTTCCTTCCTGCTTCCCTCCAGCCCAGCTCCCCAACAGTAATGGATGGGTGTGTATCTATGTCTTTTTGCCCACACATAGCTATGCAATATGTACACACATGTATAGTATGTTCGCCTTTACTAAAATAGGATCATATTACACATATTACATTGAACTTACATTTTTTCATTTTTTTTTCATTTCATTTTCATTTTTTTCTTAACAATGTAAGGCAAAATACTTTCTGACCTAGTAGTTTGGGTGAAACAGCTACCAACATTTCAAAAATGTCTGAGTTCAATACCATTAAATAAATGTAGCTTTCTACATTTTTCTTTACTGTACATATTCTAGAATAATGACTTGCTCATTGCTGTGAGAAACAAATAACTCAAAAGTCCTTGCCTGAAAGCATGTGACAAGCAAGTGGGAGAGAAAAGACTAAAATAAATGAAATAATTAGAAAACTTACTAAGTAGTAAACTGCATGGTAGAGCAACAGGGAGGGCTGAAATCCAGAGAAAAACCTTCAGAGAGTCTGGGGGAGACAGAGCATTTAGGGAAGAATTAGGGATGTGTTTCTCGCAGAAAGTCACTTGAAAAGGTCTAGAAATGCATCCACTTGATGTATTGGCGGTGGCTGACACTGTTAGCCGTTTCCAGCACGCTCATTCTTGTGCTGTCTCCTTGGAAGATAGGAGCATTATAATCGGAAGTCTAATGCACGCTCTAGGAGAGCTTTCCAGTCCTGATAAGAGGAACAGATGTAGTTGACACTATTTCTGTCCCCCTCTTGTCTGTATTGTGGATGTGATTCCTGCAGCTATGGTAGCTGTCTTGTGACCATAAAGCGACAAAGATGCGGACAAAAGTCTGACACACTAAGAATGGTGGAAGCTATGCCTCCAACCACATCAGAAGTCCATAAACCTCTGGAATTCCTATTGTGTGATAAATAAATAAAACCCTATTAAAAACAGAATTGCCACATTAGTCAACATTTGTTTTACCTATACTATAAATGAGCATAAGAATAGTCTTCAGAGTGTAGTTATGGTCCATTTGAATGTGTACCAACAGAAGGCTGGTTAAGTAATTTCTGATTCATTCATACAGTGGACTGCAGTGCAACTCTGAGAAAGGATGATGGAGATCTACACACCCTGGGATACAACAATCACCGAGATACAGTAAGTGCAAGAAGCAAGGGGCAGAGTGCTATGTACACTTCAGATCCTCAGATTAAGAATGGCAAATGTTGGCTACAACAAAGATTAAGATTAAAATGATTATTCAAAATATAAAAGGCAAAATAAGTATAAATGAAATTTAAGTGATTAAAATTTTAAATTTTTATGAAAGTTGGTAGCATTTATACTTCTAAAACTAATAAAGCTTAAAATCTCACTATGATTTTTGGGACAATGCCTAGAATGCTGCATTGTATTAAGAAAAAAAAGATATATGCACACACACATACACACATATCCTCATATATGTATAGATTTGTGTACATGTATAATACACCTCATATACAGTGACAACCTAATATGTTCCACTGGGCATGGAAGTAGGACAGATTGTGGGACTTAGGTAAAGGGGCTGGATATACTTTTTATTATGCCCCATTTCAGTGTTTACACCTTTTTTTTTTTTTTACTTTGCATGTATTTTTTCAAAATAATAATATGAAAAAATATTTATAATGCTGTGTGAAAAAATGGTTGTAAGCGACTTTAGTGTGGGATATGTTAAACAAGCTATTTAACATAGTTTTGCCCATCACCATCAAATCAAAAATGCAGAAATACCCATTTGTGGGATGCGAACACCATTGAGATATGCCCAGTACTCCCTCAGCTAAGTGCTCTGCCGTCCTGGCAGGGAGAATGGGTGTGGGGTGGGGCAGAGAGCCCTGTTCCCAGAAGTAAAAATAAAGGACAGAAATCCAGTTATCATCAGAGGGGTATATGCATTCCAGGATATCTGGGACTTTTCTACATTAGCTACTTTTAAAATTCTCTACTTCCTGCGCCTCCCCCCAAGTCATAGGCAGCTCACTATGAAAAGGTCTTGTCCTTGTTGACAAAATGGAAGAAGAATGCTCAGAGGACCTTGCCTATTCTGGGGCAAGCCTTGGGTGGGGGTGGCGATGTAGAACACCCAGGGAGACAATGGCGTGGCCGGGGAGAAGGGGAGAGGAAGAAAACACAGCCCAGGGACAGAGGAGTGGCACTAGGGCTTAATAGTCTCACGTTTGCCCTCTACCCATGATGCCTGGGTGATAAATCTTCCCGTTTTAGACTTGTCAGACTTCTGCTCTTTGGCCCCCTTTTGTGGGTAAGAATCACCACGACTTCAGTTGCTTTCTGCAGGATCACTCTCTGCTCAATACCCCACTCCGGTCAAGTTCTTCCTCTTTGTGAAGCATTATAGACTAACCAGAGGGCCCCCAGGGCTCTCTAGACCACACTCGGGAGAAGCTCTGGATTAAATGATGCATGACTAGGAAATAAAATACAGTATATCAAACACTTGTCCTCACTTATCATATCCAAATGGTGACAGTTACAAGGAAAAAATACAGAAAACCCAGTAACACAATATACTTGCCTTAAATATGACATCATCTTTCAGGAAAGGCAGCCTCATTTCTGTGATGTATGGGATGTATCTTAGTTAAGTGAGTTCTTTGCCCTTGGGTTTTGAGCTGTGGTATGCCATAGTGGAAAAACGAAAATGTAACAGGCATTTCACTGTGTCTCAAAAATGGATAACACCTTTTCTCACATTTTGTGAGCCATTTCTGTGCAGTTTTCTTTCCTGTTGGGCAAGAGAAAAAAATTTTCTATAATAACTATAAAATTATTTAGCACGGTTATCATAGGCCATTTGGCAAATAATAATCTGGGTTTTAGAGAGTCTGAATCTCCTGATCAGATGTTATTTTTGCTCTATAGCATCTGGTTTTGACAAGAACATGAGTGGAATTAAGTGTTAAATTGATCTTTTTCCCATCAGTAGCAGCAATGAAACATCACATGTTCTAGTGAAAATGTATCAGATTTCTGCACTGCTGCACACAGATGCACAGGTTAATTTCCAAAAATGTACTTTATCTCTGATGATATTCATGTGTGCATTTGGAGGAAGAAACTATATGTGAATTTGTGAGTTCATAGTGAGAAAGAGAATTTTTCTTTTGCTGGTAGGTAGACACCATAAACATCTGAAATCTTGTTAATAGGCTGCTATGGACTGAAATGTGTTCCTCTCAAATGCTTATGTTGAAGCCTTAGTCCCCACTATGACTGTATTTGAGATAGGGCCTATAAGAAGTAATTAAGGTTAAGTGAGGCCATAGGGTGGGCCCTGAGATGACAGGATTAATGTCCTTATAAGGAGAGACCCCTCTGATTGCCCTTCCCTGAGTGTACACAAAGGAAAAGCCGTGGGACAACATAGCCAGCCGGATGTTGGCCCAGAAGGTAGGAAGATAGACCTCACCAGAAGCCAACCCTGCCAGGTCTTGATCTGGTACGTTTGGCGTCCTAAACCATGAGAAAATAAGTTTCTGTTGTTTAAGCCACCCAATATGGTAAGTATTTTGTTATGGCAACTCTAACATTACTATGTAGGCCATGTAAGTATTCTGGGAAATAACAGAATCCTATGTAGAATTTAACTTCAGTGGTACCCTAAAATCTTGTGCATTTTAAAAAATTTTGACAACATGAAATATTTTCACTGTTTAATCTTTATCAAAATTTTCCATCTTAAAAGTTCAAAATGTTTTACTATAGTACCTTCTAGATAATCTTACAAGAAGTAGTACATTCATTGCATTAGTACATTCATTGCATAATTCATCATATCTCTTACCTTGTTAGGAAAGACAAATTACTGGAAGGCTATAAGAGACGGTTGCAAAGGATCAGAGTTGAATCTAGTATGAAAGATATTCAGTAATACTTTGGCTGTATCTCCATTGAGTAACCAAACTAAAGAGCCCATATGCTATTTTTTCCCATCTTTGGGAGTTCAACAAAAGGAGATGGGCCATTGATAGCTCCGAGGATAGATGCAGTCATTCCAAACTCTTGCATGATTTATTCTCCAGACCTTTAATAATGCTCTTCAATCTTAGGGAAATTGGTTTAGTTTTATTTGTTAGCTATCCTTTCCCTCCTGATTTCCGAGGTGCAGTGGGACATGTCTGTCTCTATCTGCATCTCAACCTCTACATCAGCATCTACCTCTACTTCTACACCTACATCATATGAGACTATGCCTTAAATACATTTTCCTGGGAGATGCTGGTGCCTAGCTTTTAAGCACGGCATAACTTCTCCCCATCTATGCCTCACTAAATCTGTTTTCTACTTTATAGTAAATCAAAATCTTCAAATTAGAATACAGGTTAGTGACTGGCCACATATTTCCCAAAGCATGACACAATAGGGAGAAATCACTGGAGGAATGAAGAAGCGTGCCCAATATTGTCTCAGAATATTCTTTCACAGCTAAACAGCTTGAGAGTTCATTGACTCTGAAACCCGTTGTAGGTTTTAAGCCTTAGCTCCATTTTTCAGTTGAGGCTTATGTCAGTGTAGTGTTGATTTGAAAATTCACCATATCTCTAGACTCATGTTGAATGCAGCAAAGATCTGGAATCCTTCTCTTCTTTTAGGGAAGGGGAGGACCCCTCATGTACTGGCTGTGACCAATCAAATGTTTCTTGATGCCAAAAAATTAAACACAGTAAGGCCAGACCTTGTCAGCAATGAGTTGATTGCTTTAAATAAGGGAGATTTCCTGAATGTTTAAATTGAAACTTCGACTTTGATTAAAGCAAAGAGAAGTACCAGGATGGCTTCCTAACTATTTAGTTCCTAAGATTCCTGTGAGGTCTGGAGATGACAAATTCAATTCTGATGTGCTGTGTTTTACACTCTGCAGGCTATAGTAAAAGGGAAAACTAATCAAGCTTGGGTTTCCCATGGGCTGAGCTTTAAGATGTTTTCCTATTTAAAGCCATGGAAATATGTTAAAACCCACATAGGCACAGTGAAGTTTATACAAGGCAAAATCTATGTGACTATGTTTTTGCATAGTGTGCATATTTTGATTTTTCATTATTTTGGTTTGCTTAATGGTTCATTTTGTTTAAAATTATATTATTACCACATTTTTATTATAAAGATGAGGGAAATGCTTTAAAATACAAAAATATATATGTAATACATATTCAAATATATGTAATCTATATTGAAAAATGGCTTTGTTGTCAAGTAGAACACACTAGCTTGAATTTCAAATTTTTATTCAAAAGAAAAAATTGAAAACTGATGAGTGACATACATATAAATGCATGGCTATACATCAAGGCATGCCAAGAAAAAAATTTAAGAATTTATTTTTAGAGCCAGTGCTATTATCATATAATTAAAAATATTAACTACTGTGTAAAAATCATCAAATGAGAAGAAACAGGAAAGGAGAATCAATGGATGCACATGTCAACCAAATAAACTAGACATTTCATATATAAACAAGGGACCGAATTTTACATAAACCATTGTTTGCAAACATATGACAATTAAAAGTAGTGCTTTTCATTAGAAGATGGAACAAGGGACTTCCAATCATTTCTCTGTTCCATTCTAGGTTGGTCATTAGGCGAGTTTCTCATTAAGTTTTATGTCTATGAAATTACAGTCAAAACGAAAATCTTATAAGGATGTTAAGGATGTTATTATGTATATGTGTGTGTACATACACACTGTCAATCATATATCTATCTATCTGTCTATCTATTTCTATAATTTTTGGGGTAGATGATACTTGTTTTTAGAGCATTAGAAGCAAAAAAAACTGTCCACACTGGACATTTTATGCACTGAAGAATGGAGATTTTTCCATAAATATGCACAGGAAAGCTACTAAACTTAATCTTTGGGTCTTTTCTCAAATTTAACACACAAGTAAACACAATCAAAAGAATAATAGTCTTTTTGATCTTTTCAATATGACAATCTTAATTTTACGTTTTGGCAAGGAGTATAGTACTTAACTTATGTTTCAGGTCATATTAACTAAATGGTTTACTCCTGTCTACTGACAGGGTGTAGCCAAAATATATTCCACCAGTAGCACCTGTGGCTTTCCTTATGTAAGATTATGGGAATTT